GTCTACCCCAGGGTTCAGTTTGAAATTCCAACCACCTGAAGAAGGCCTGAGTGTACAACGTCCGAAACGTTGTGATAAATATGGTGACAAAGATGAGGACAATAGTCCGAATAATGTAAATAATGTGTATATTTATTATTAATAATAATAATAATAATAAAAATGGCAAGTTACTCTTGTTTTCTGAGCACACCAATCTATCAGAGTGGCCAACCAATCCATGTTGAAGATGCCTGCTTGGGTGTATTTTTGTTTATTTGATAGCCACACAAGCCACCTGTGGTTTACATTGAACTTAAAATTTCTGGTTGAGAGTCTGGCATAATTTGAACTAGGTCAGTATGCACAAAGCCTCTATCATGATGACTTCATGCTTGAACAACAACTGATGACTTCCAAACAATTCTATCTAACCAATTTCACTGGCAAAGCTTGGGTTAACTAATGGTGTTGTTTTCAGGTATATATCATTGGTGCCACATGCTAGAATCACCTCCTGAGGATGGTCAAGAAGTCATCTTCCTAACAAATCAATCATAGTGAGATTTGAATTTTGATTTCATTGTCATAAAGCCAACACTGTAACCACTCAGCCAGGCAGACATACAGGGCAAGTTGTCACCTTTTTATATTTTTAATTTCATGCATGTGCATTATTTGTTTTTAATTTTGCCAACTGCAGTGTATATTAGGGTCAGATGGGCACTCTCTGTGGAAAAAAAAGCCCTATGGCACAATTCACTCCACCAGAAATTTGGAAACACCATGCTGTATTGCTTGGCATTCATGCCAGAATGTTTGAGAGTCAATCTGAAGACAGTGCTGAGGATTCGGAAAGAGTTGGATGAGTCTAATGGTGATTACAAAGGTGTTTGGAGTGATAATTAGTGATGGTGATATTATACCACATCATTCATCTTCCCACAGGACCTGAAGTGGGAAGCCTACGTCTAGTGCCTTGAGGAGGTAGTGTAGGCCTGGGTTAGGAGGGTGGCTGCTGGAAGACCCTATGTGTAGCAACAGGACTCTACACCATGCTACACAGTCAGGAGAAGCCAGTCATGGCTATCAGACAATTTCTGCGACCATATCACCCCTTACATATGGCCACTTCTCGAACTGCAGCTCCCTTGATTATTATGTGTGGGGCACAGTTGAGCAAGTGACCAACAAAACTTCTTGTGACACCAAAGATGAACTGAAAGCAAGGATTATGGCAGCATTCACCTACTTATACTAGAAGACTGTCGAAAAGAGTTGCAGGAGACTCCAAATTTTTTTTGAGGCCATAGTTGAAGCCAATGACAATTTTTGTATTTCAAGATATTTTTGTGTAATTTTGGTAAACATATCTGTTAAAATGAGATGTCAGTGTTATTTTCATTTTTGTATAATTTAGTTGACAATTTATCCATCGCACCCTGTATTTAATTATATTTGTTTTTGAATGGGCAAATTTCTATTTTGGCTTGTAATCATCTTTTACTAAACAGTCTGGCCAAATTTTGGACATATTTGTTTGTACGTATGTGTCACAGTACTGGGTATGATGATAAATTACTTCAGGCAACAAGGCCTCTTTTAATTGCTGTTATTTCCAGGTCGACCCAGACCTGGGATGGTAGCACCTGTTAGGGTCTCAGCTATGGGCAAATAGTGAACCACCAATAATGAAAAATAAATAAAAATCAGATGACTTCACTTGAATAAATGCAGCCACTATTTTCTGGTTTGTGTTAGCAATAAAGAGAGATTTCTGTTTCACCATACAGAACAAAGGCCATTGAATAAATTGGTCAAAACATTGTTAATGACTTTTCTCAAGATTATCAAAGTTTTCTTTGGACATCTTTTACAAAGATTTGGAATGGATCAGTCAAGGTATTGTAGTAAAAACAAAAATAACAATGGGATTTGTAGTTTGAATAACCCAGGTGTCACCAGTGCAAGGAAGATAACTCTAGAACAACAAATAATAACAAAGCTATAGAGAATGATGATCCATTACCACTTTTAATCCCGACAAATTTACGGGCAACCATTCAAATGCAATGTAATTGCTAGGGTAATAATTAGTAGGTCAGAGATGTGTCATTGAATTGGTATTATGTGACTTTCATGATACAGGAATGGACACTAATCCACCAAAAGTTAGCATAAATATCTATCTACTCCTTAGCAGATACTAAGTACAATTCTATTAATCATCAAAACATCAGTAGAGAACAGAAAAAAGTACACCCTTGTGCAAATTAATTGAAACAAATGCTTTAGTTTTCTTTCTTTCACCATACAATAAGTTTTAGACCCACTGTAGTTACAGGGTGTAATTAATTTCTATTTTTTCCTCAGATTATTTCAGTTGCAGTGGTGTGCAGTAATATTAATCTATTTCGGGGGGTGTATAATTGTTATAGTGGAACACACCTATTCTATTGTTAATAGACTCTCCCACCTATAATAAGTAGGAGTAGAAAGAGTAACAAGTCAGTCGATGTCGGATGACCGTTAGTCGGATATTAAAGTATCAGCCACCACAACTAGATTACTGCGTCATTACCTATTATATCAAGTTCCTTACAATTTTGTATGTCGAACCTATTTTAGGACCGACTTAGTACAAATACAAGCCTCCACTGTGAAACCACTACATAACAATAATGAAGTTTGTTTGGCCTTGAAAAATATTGCATCATCTGTGATTGCATCAGATTTTCATCATGCCCAGACAATATTGTTTTGACTGTCAATTACTTGTCCTATGGCCATTGTCTGTGATGGACATTACTGCAAGGAAATGTACAAAAATTGTATCGCTGCATGAACACACTGGCAAGCCTTACCAGTGAGCAAATCAAAGTACTATAGACTGGCTTGGAAACTCTCCTGATTTAAAACCAGTCGAGAATCTGTGGTCAATCTACAAGGAAAGACTTTGTGGAATGGATATTCAAAGTACTAACATGTGCACTGGGTCATGTTTGATTGGAAAAATATGAAAAAAAAGTAAATAATAATGGAATTATTTGTTTTGTTTCAGTTGATATGCACAAGGGTGTAGGAAGACAAGAGAGTAGTATGGCTGAAATATTTATATAAAAGAACTAAAGATGAAGATACAAACTTGAAGATACAGCCACATCAAATTAAATCATTGGTTCCCATGTGAACACCAAAGTTAAGCAATGTTGAATCTGGTCAGTACCGAAATGCGGAATTGCTTGGGAATAGCAGGTGTTGTAAGCTTGGTTGTGTGGGTGATTTAATAGATAAAGGTGCAGAATAATTAATCAGAGAACAGAATTTCAATTCCAGTCAGGTTCATGATATTTACTTATGTGCAAATAGCCATGGGAAAGGCATAAACCTGCGTCTTCTTTAACAAGATATGGGTTAATTAGTAAGACTTCATTAAACTATTATTTCAAAAAAATAATTTTTACAATCTAAAATATTTCCTGGCTTTAAATAACCTGCAAAGGGTTGATAAAATGTAAAAATGTATCAATCAAAATCAAATCTAACTTGAAAAATTGATTGAATCGTTTGCTTGTAGTGATTTCTACTTTGACTGAAAGATTAAGTCTATGAAATTTTGTAGAAACATTTAGTGAATTTGTCTATATTCCTGAGATGAGGTATTATGTATATTATTTACATTATTCACCATTTATCCATTATTTACATTATTTGCCTTTATCCACTGTGCTATGTGTCCTGAAGGATACATGGCACAGTGGCTAGGATCAAAGTGTAGTATCTGCGCTTTGTGAGCTGCCGGGTCGGGTGTCTGTTGAACTCTCTGCTTGCAGAGGGGAACCCAGACGAAGCTCCACCGAAGGGTGGGGTTTCGTTCGGGGAGGTTGACGGAACTAGCCCGCTTGGACGGGTTTAGATGGGTTTTATTTTTGGCTGGGCCTACGGGCTCAGACATACCCACATTAAAAAGGCCTTGTGCCACATTCGATCCCCGTGGGTGGATTGATAAACACCATCAGGGAAGAGAATAAATGGAAGGGAATTCCAAATGAGAGAAGTGTGAGAAAAGAAACTGTTGGAGTAGAAGTGGTGATTGCATTTAGCTATTTTGACAGTAAATGTGTGGGATCCAGATGCCAATCTATTGGCACACTTAAATTCATGCAATCAGAGCACCTGAAAAAAAAGCCCGTTAGAGCAGTTGCCATGAAAATATTTGTAGAAAAGACAGAGAGAAGCCACGCCACATCAATGAGAAAGTTACTGAAGTCAAGATGCCAGGTCATGATTGATTAAATTACAAATCCTACATTGGATTTTGTCAAGAACCTCTAAATGAATAGCAGGAGCACCAGACCAGATATGGCAGCAGTATTCAATGATTTATAAATGTGTAAGATGGATTCTAATGAGAAAAAATTTTTTTTTACTTTTTTATTACTAGAATAGTGAATTTGATCCAAATTGGATGCTCCACATTTGTAGCCTTGTAATCCCAACTTAGGACATACTGTAAAGCCTTGTAAATAACATATGCATGACCATCTGGACACCCCACAGTAAATTGGTGGGACCTAGATGCAATCTAGTAGCATGCTTAAATTCATGTATTCAGGGCAGCAAGGAAAAAAGCATGTTGGAGTAGTTGCCATGAAAATATTTGTAGAAAAGCTAAAAAGAAGCCATGCCTTGTCTAGATGCTAGGTCAGGAATGATTACATTACAGATCCTTCTTTGGAATTTGTGAAGAACCTTGAGATGAATAGCAGGAGCTCGAGACCAGATATGGCAACAGTATTCAATGCATCGGCAAATGGTAGATTTGCAAATGTGCAAGATGGATTCTAACAAGAAAAATTTTCTGGCACAACAGAGTGAACCAACAACAGATGCAGCCATGATGTAGTTACTCCATTTCAAGTCAGTTGAAAATGTGAGGCCAAGAAAACACAGTGTGTTGCACTCCAGGAGTCTAGTGTCAGCCATGCTGATAGCAGGCAGTACTTCTGTTATTCCAGCAAAACAGATAATCTGGCAGAGTTCTGGAACCCACTGTGCCAGAAAATCTTTAGAGTACCTATACTTTTAAGTCAAGCATAAACTGTCCTCCAACTGTAAGTGTTTCTGTCTTTTAACTCTCAATGTTTCTGTCCTCCAGCTATCAGTATTTCTACACTTCAACTACCAGTGTTTCTGTCCTCCAACTGTCACTGTAGATCAGCCATTCAACACTGAATTTTTCTTGGGTTACAAGGCCTCCTGTCAAATGAAAACATAGTATGAACAGACAGACAGAAACTCATCCAAATGTGTTTGGAGGCTTAACACAGGGAAGGTAATTGCCTTGATGGAGAATACTAGTGCCAAATATAAATGAATTTGGAGTGTTGTTTTCAAAAGGTTATATCGACCTGATGTAATCTACTCCAAAACATACTGATCCATTTAGACACACTGAAATCGCCAATGGAAGTGTTGATGCCTTCATTTTGAAGGGCATGGGTTGATGTCCTCTTTGGCAAATATTGGTCTAAACCTGAATTAACACCTTACAATTTTTGGGGTCACCTTATATGTCAAGTTTTACTGCATAAATCATACCTGCACTTTCTGCATTAAGTCCATTTGCTTTCTTTTTCTTCCATTTTGGCCAATAAAAAAGCAAACAAAAAATCCTCTCAGCTGATTGTCCATTTAATTTTTCTTGCCGAGCTTTCAAACACAAAATACCTTTTAAGAAGATTGGTTTACAATGAGTGAATTTGATGCCACAGACTCCTGAAGAGAAATACTGGCTTGAAACTCTGTAAAAAAGCAAAAAGCCTTTCAGTTCAAGCTCCCATTCAATTAGCCAGAATTTTCTCTTTCATCATTTTTTTTCCTTGCTCTATTTTCTTCATTTTCTGTATTTTTGTCTCCATCATTCATTTCAACTCACTTTTATTTCCTTGTCTATTTTTTCATCTTCTCCCAGTTTTATTTCTTTGTATATTTTCCTTCTTTTTTTCCTTTTCTTCTCTCTCTTTTATTTACTTGTTTATTTTTTCTTCTTCTTCTATCACTTTTATTTCCTTGTCTATTTTTCCTTCTTTTTTGTCATTTTGATTTTCTTGACCATTTCTTCTCCTCCACTCTTATTTCCTTATTTTTTCTTCCTTTCTCATTTTTATTTCCTTGTCTCTTTTCCTTCATTTTCTCATTTTGACTTTCTTGCTTTTTACTCTTTTCCTCTCTCTTTTATTTCCTTGTTTATTTCTTCTTCCTTTTCTCTTACTTTTAATTCCATGTCTATTTTCCTTCTTTTTTTCTTGCCTTTTACCGCTTCTCTTTCTTTTATTTCCTTGTCTATTTTTTCCTCCTCTTTTTTATTTCCTTGTCTATTTTTTCCTCCTCTTCTCTCTCTTTTACCTCCTTGTGATTTTTTCCTCCTCTTCTCTCTCTTTTATTTCCTTGTCTATTTTTTCCTCCTCTTCTCTTTCTTTTATTTCCTTGTCTATATTTTCCTCCTCTTCTCTCTCTTTTATTTCCTTGTCTATTTTTTCCTCCTCTTTTTTATTTCCTTGTCTATTTTTTCCTCTTCTTCTCTCTTTTACTTCCTTGTCTATTTTTACCTCCTCTTCTCTCTCTTTTATTTCCTTGTCTATTTTTTCCTCCTCTTCTCTTTCTTTTATTTCCTTGTCTATTTTTTCCTCTTCTTCTCTCTTTTACTTCCTTGTCTAATTTTACCTCCTCTTCTCTCTCTTTTATTTCCTTGTCTATTTTTTCCTCCTCTTCTCTTTCTTTTATTTCCTTGTCTATTTTTTCCTCCTCTTCTCTCTCTTTTATTTCCTTATCTATTTTTTTCCTCCTCTTTTTTATTTCCTTGTCTATTTTTTCCACTTCTTCTCTTTTTACTTCCTTGTCTATATTTTCCTCCTCTTCTCTCTCTTTTATCTCCTTGTCTATTTTTTCCTCCTCTTCTCTTTCTTTTATTTCCTTGTCTATTTTGTCCTCTTCTTCTCACTCTTTTATTTCCTTGTCTATTTTTTCCTCCTCTTCTCTTTCTTTTATTTCCTTGTCTATTTTTTCCTCCTCTTCTCTCTCTTTTATTTCCTTGTCTATTTTTTCCTCCTCTTCTCTTTCTTTTATTTCCTTGTCTATTTTTTTTTCCTCCTCTTCTCTTTTTATTTCCTTGTCTATTTTTTCCTCCTCTTCTCTCTTTTTATTTCCTTGTCTATTTTTTTCCTCCTCTTCTCTTTCTTTTATTTCCTTGTCTATTTTTTTCCTCCTTTTTTATTTCCTTGTCTATTTTTTCCTCCTCTTCTCTCTCTTTTACTTCCTTGTCTATTTTTTCCTCCTCTTCTCTCCCTTTTATTTCCTTGTCTATTTTTTCCTCCTCTTCTCTTTCTTTTATTTCTTTGTCTATTTTTACCTCCTCTTCTCTCTCTTTTATTTCCTTGTCTATTTTTCCTACTCTTCTCTCTCTTTTATTTCCTTGTCTATTTTTTCCTCCTCTTCTCTTTCTTTTATTTCCTTGTCTATTTTTTCCTCCTCTTCTCTCTCTTGTACTTCCTTGTCTATTTTTTCCTCCTCTTCTCTCTCTTTTATTTCCTTGTCTATTTTTTCCTCCTCTTCTCTTTCTTTTATTTCCTTGTCTATTTTTTCCTCCTCTTCTCTTTCTTTTATTTCCTTGTCTATTTTTTCCTCCTCTTTTTTATTTCCTTGTCTATTTTTTCCTCCTCTTCTCTCTCTTTTACTTCCTTGTCTATTTTTTCCTCCTCTTCTCTCTCTTTTATTTCCTTGTCTATTTTTTCCTCCTCTTCTCTTTCTTTTATTTCTTTGTCTATTTTTTCCTCCTCTTTTTTATTTCCTTGTCTATTTTTTCCTCCTCTTCTCTCTCTTTTATGTCCTTGTCTATTTTTTCCTCCTCTTCTCTCTCTTTTATTTCCTTGTCTATTTTTTACTCCTCTTCTCTCTATTTTATTTCCTTGTCTATTTTTTCCTCCTCTTTTTTATTTCCTTGTCTATTTTTTCCTCCTCTTTTTTATTTCCTTGTCTATTTTTTCCTCCTCTTCTCTCTCTTTTATTTCCTTGTCTATTTTTTCCTCTTCTTCTCTCTCTTTTATTTCCTTGTCTATTTTTTCCTCCTCTTCTCTCTCTTTTATTTCCTTGTCTATTTTTTCCTCCTCTTCTCTCTCTTTTATTTCCTTGTCTATTTTTTCCTCCTCTTCTCTTTCTTTTATTTCCTTGTCTATTTTTTCCTCCTCTTTTTTATTTCCTTGTCTA